CTCTCTGCAAGCGTCAGCGATTTTTTCCGGTAGATTGCACAAGGCTTTGTTGTGGAGATCGGATCCACAGTACATGCACGCGATTCTCTTGTTAGGACAGAACTGCTTATAGTGACGGCTATCCAAGCAGTACTTACATCGGACACGCGGGAATCTTCTCTCAACACTGGCGTATCTCGGGCAACTGTCCGAATAATGAGTCCCTTTGATTAGACAGAAGGAGCAAATCAGGTAACGGTCTTTGGTCTCTCATTTTGTCAACTTGGCGGATGCACCTCTCTGGTACGGCTCTGTTCTCGTTCAAGTATGCTCTTATCTCAGCTATACGCCTTTCCAGTTCAATCCTTGCCTGATTTCCGGGATACTGCACTGGCTGCGGACTACGCCTTTCTGATCTATCGGACTCGGCATCATCTTGCGCAACGTCAAATTCATAGTCGTCCATTAGGTCCAAGAGATCTTCCTCCGGTTCTTCAGAAGCAGTGTCTCTTCCAACGGGTTCCTCGACATGCTCTGACGGTGCCTTCTCGACACTTTCACGGTCTCCCTGCATCGATTCGGCTTGTCCCTTTGAGAGCAGGTCTTCCGGATGCTCTTGGTCCTCCTGTATCTTCATCGCAGCGGCAGATAGAGACTCGAGTCTTTCGGACATCTCCTTTATGGTCTCGTTCTGGCCATCAATCTTTCGCAAAAGTTCCATGTGCTGTTCTTCCTGCTCCTTTCGCAAGCTGGAGATCAGTTCCTTCACTGCATCAAGAGGGCTGGCATGCCGTTCGCTTTCTTCTTGGAGCTGGGCTTCTCTGATCTCATGCTCTACCTGGTGCTTAAGGTCGGCAAGAAAGTCAAGCTCCTTTCTGATGAAGTCAGCCGTGAAATTCGGTTCCATGGCTACGCCTTGCTCTTCCTTGTCGTAAAAGCGATCTCGAGAGTCCGCCACTTTATCATCTGATAGAACCAGAAGTCCGTACACTTCATAGGCCATCGATAGTGCTTCGGCAGTGCTACGGATCCTTTCGCACGTGTAGCAGGCTTCAAGATGAAGTTTCTCTAAGCGACTCTTGTAGAGCGTCGCCTCCATGCTCGCAAAAAGTTTGGGCTTAGTCCCACGCAATTCAGCAAAGGCTTCAGAAAGAGAGTTAGACTTAACGAGCAACAAGATCGATTTTACAAATCTACGTATCTTCTTCTGAATGTCTTCTTCCGAAGGGAACGTAGACGCCAGTCTGACGCACGAACGTTTGTACTTTATTTCGTCGATCAGCTTGCGTTCCTGGGCTTGACGCTTTCTTGTAAACTCGTCCTCTTGCTTCGACGATGACATTCTCTGAAATGGAGGAAATAAATTGTCAGAATACAAGGTAATAACTACTAATCTGCTAGTAAGCATGACCTCAGAGGAGTTTCTCTGCTTTGCTCTCAAATTTGTCACGTTTACGAAAAAACAGTGCTTTCAGCAGATGCTTTACGGTGCATACCATCATGCGCAGAAGCAGTTTGCATGCAAGCTTTATGCAGTTTCCTAAACTTTCCATGCACCATTTAATGAGCTTGCAGCATGCTGACGAAAGATAAAGGTAGCTCAAAAGAAGTGCTCCTGCTACGGCAGCAATGGTCAGTATTAGGGTTTTATACCATTGCAGATATATGTCAATTATGTGGCTGATGTCAGGCCAAGAAATTCTAGAAAATATATCAAGGGAGAATATATTGAAGGAGGTTCTGTTATGATTTTGCTGGATGTACTGCTTGATCCCTCCTTCGAGACTGTGCACATATTTGAGTATGCCACTCAAATCGAAATGCTTTGACCTTGACCCACACCTTACTGAGCACTGGACATAGACTCGTGCTGAGTCAAAAAGAAAGTGAAGATGAGATTCTACGCCAGTAGGAGAGCAAGGAATAGTGAAGCTTTCGTTACCACATTCGACTTCGGCCGATGTGTTACTAAGAGTGGATGTGCAAATTACTTTAGCTCGTGCTCCCTTGCTGCACAGATAGCACCCGGTGATATCGGCATTTTCGATCGTGCAAATGTCTTCCTTGATTTCAGTAATCAAGTCAGTGGCAGCTTCTTTCAAAGTCAGGGTAAATTCCGCAGACACATCGTGCTCTATTTTCGCTATGACGGCATGATGGGGGTGCTTTGAAAATTGTACCTGATCACGGATCACCGGTAATGCGTTTTCTATGCTCATGAAGGTCTTTTCGACTTCGTCTTCTTCGCATTTACACATCACCTGATTTTCCGCAGGTGTACATTCGCAGTTAACCTGCATAATGCACTGTAGCGATCGAGCATGCGCCGCTGATGAGCAATGGAGTGCTGGATGCTTCTCCTTGTTCCAGATAGCTGTATGGTTCTTCGAATTGATGAAGTTCTGCTCAAGGATTGGAAGTGGTGGAGTTGAAAGCACACTCAGCGTTACTTCGAAGCTGCGGATCCGTGTTGGAATATTAGGTCGCAAGCCAATTACATAAGAGTGCATCTGTGTCCCTTCATTGATGTCAAAATGAAGCTTTACCTCCTCATCCCACGTGGTGCACTTATAAAGTTCATAGATAGTGTCGTCTTTGGGTACGGCATATATCCTGTAGAAGAGGCAGCCAGAATCCCAGTGAAAACAACCGCACCCTGGGCCTCCGCAAGATTCCAGACAATATGTGATGCCAGGGAAATTGTTGCCAATCTTGAGCTCAGGTAGCAAGCTCGTTGCGTTCACATCTGCACACTTATTTCCGATGCACGACCCCCTTGTTGAGCATCTTTTGCTATCTACAACCTTCAAAACCACATTCCTTGTGAAGAGTAACGATTCTCGATTGCACAGTAATCGTAATCCTCCCCAACGAAGTCTTGCTTTGATGAGGGCAGAGCCATTTTTCATGAACGTTAGACATGCATCCCTTTTGAATGGATTGATCTTCACTACGGATGTCATTTCTACGTCGCAAATGCTCTTTCCTTCTGTCAAACGGCAATGCTGTACCTGATATGGGAAGATGTTCACCTCTTGACAAGCCAATGCTCCGATGGCTAATGCAGCTGCTACGACTGCTAGTGCTTCCATAATTCTCGAAGAACGTTGTCGTGGTCCTCTTTTGAAGATCCCTGTGACATAGCTGAGGCATGTAAGCAACATTTGTCCGAATAGGCTTGCTACTGTGCGGATCCCTTTGAGCATGATTCGGAACGGTCGACCTACAGTTACTGGCACATAGCATATCGTGTAGCAAATAGCGACCAATAGGTACAGGATTATACCTAATCCCGTTATCGCTGCAAGTGGCCAGCACTCTGGATTTAGAACATTTGCCGTACATACTGTACAATCGATTGCAGAACAAAATGACTGTGCTGGACAGGTTGTTTCTACAACCGTATACGAGTCTTTTGCTTTCAACTTCCAGCGTACCTCGAAGTCGTGAATCATTTCTTCTGGTGGTAAACGGATGAGTTTATGAATTGGAGGTGTCTTCTCTAGTACGCAGTAGTTGTTGACACACAACTCATGCTCTTGCGACTGCGGGGCATGCAGATATACTCCAACTTCCCTGCATTCAATTGCGTAGTCTGTGGAGGATCGTGTGCTCGCCTGGTTCTGGTTCTGAATGCTCGGCTGCTCTCCGCAGACAACTGACATCATTATCAAAGTTAGGCCCATTTTCAAGTAGAGTGATATTGGCCATGTTCTGATGCGCCGTGAGGTGTAGCAATGAACATCGCCTAGGCTCTGACACTGCTCATCAGTATAACGCACTGTTCTTCTTGGACGCAGATTGTAGCGTTCATTTGAATGCTGTGGCTTAGGTCGTTGATCTTTTCGGGTTTCACTCTGTTGCCTGTCATCGCGACTTTCTGGTATTTCTAAGGGTATGAGCTGGTTGACAGGACGTCGTAGTGTCTTTTTATTGCAGTAGACTTCAACTTCTCTGACTGCTCCGTCGCTGCTCGGAACTATTTTGGAAATACGAGCTAGTTTCCAGGTGTTCCTTTTTTGATTCGGATCGGTTAAGAGCACTACTGCTCCTTCGCGAACCTCCGTCGTATTTCCTCGTTTACCGTTTATTGTTCTGCGATGCTGCTCACGAAGAGCTGTCAAGTATTGGTCCCTCCATACGTTCCAGAAGTGTTCCGTGATAGCACAAGATGACTGTAGTGCTCTCTGTGCTTGCAGGCTCGTTTCAAGACGTAGTCTTTCCGCTGGAGGTAAGTAATCCGGATCCGAGTTACCTTGCTCGAAACGTTCCAATGGGAGAGTGACATCCATTTCTTTCTGTATAAAGTCGATAGGACGCAAGGGTATTATGCTATCCTCGATGTCACTTTCTTGGTATGTAAGTGGCCTACTATTAAGGCATCCTTCTATCTCAATCAGGAATGTGCATAACTGCTCCACTGTCAGGATGCGTTTTCCAGTTGCTTTGATCAGTGCGTGTTTAACCGATTTGATGAGACGCTCGTAGAAACCTCCTTTCCAAGGTGAGTATGGCGTTATATGCTTCCATTCAATCAACTGATCGCTCATGGCGCGAGGATATTTCATCCTCCTCGGTACGTGCACCAAGCGACTCGTTTATAATTTGGCTTCCCAGGATGAATGTTGGAGCGTTATCACAAGTTACAGAGCGCGGTTTACCTCGACGAGCTACAAATCGACGGAATGCGTTCAGAAACTTCTCCGTAGTTCCATCTACTACGACTTCCAGGTGAACAAGACGAGTGACACAGCATGTGAATATACAGCCGTAAACTTCGATGCGTTCTTTGGTTTCCGTATGAACTGTGATCGGACCAAAGTAGTCTAATCCTATATTCTGGAAAGGTGACGATTTCTTCACTCGGCGTTCTGGAAGGTCCGTCATCTCGGGATATTTGTACGGCAGATTGTTAAGCTTCTGACAAGCGACGCACGAGCGTATGCATTTTTTCACTTGCTCTCGGAGTTTTGGTATCCAATATTGTTGCCGCACTTCTGCCATGGTGTGTCCGGTACTGTTGTGGTACTTCCCATGCGCTTCGAGCACTATGAGGCGAGCTAAGTCCGTGTTCGGCACAATTAGAATAGGATTCTTTGCCGTATATCTCAGCTCTGACCTATTCAAACGGCCATAAGCTCTCATCAAGTGCTTTTCATCTTCTTTTATATTGATGGTCTTAGATAGCTCCCTTCTGTACTGCGAACCTAGGTGCACTGCTTGATGGTTTCTGATCATGACATCGTGAGCATCTCTGATGTCTGATGCTGTAAGACGTTGTCCTTCGTTAGGTGTGTCAATGCATGGTAGTACACGCCGTATTTTTTCACGAAGTGGATCCTGTACGTGAGAGGCGATCCCTTTCAAAAATCGCAGTACATACGCCAGAATTCTGAGGGATTTCGTCTTACTGTTGTATTTCACCAAATCGAGAATGTCCTGTATCTGGGAACTGATCTGTCTTCGTGGCGTTTATTTGCACTGGAAGCAACGGATCATCTGCTTGTTCTTCCTCGTCTTTCTCGTTCGGAAGGCTAAAAATGCCAGACACGAATCCGTTATTGGTAATGTTTTCCAGTGGATATCCTTCCCACCACAAATGAGACGATAGTTCCTGAGTAGATGCTCCCCGTGTTCCAATATCTGCTGGGTTCCATTTCGTGTCAATATAGCCAAATTCCATTTCAACTCCCATGTCCACTAGTGATTGCACGATGCCACGCACTTCTCGTACTCGATTTGTGACGTATGGTCCCCTTTTCTCTCGATGTGGGCTACCTTTCAGCCATTTCAGCACTATTTCTGAATCCGTTAGGAACACGATTTTTGTGATGCTTATCGATGATCTGAGACTCAGGAATATATTGAGCGTGAGGCGTGCACCAATTGTTATGGCATTCATCTCCATTTTGGGTATAGTGGCTGGATGCTTTGTATCCGCCACCTTTGATTTGGCCATGAGAAAGGTGGAAGTTCTTTCCGTTGTGAGGTAGGTGCATGCTGTCATGGCAATTCCACTAGCGTCGGAATATGTGACCAACGTGTACGCTTCCACTTTATTCTGCGTGATTATCCTCGGTAACTCTTTATGGAAGTCGGACATGTCTTTGACGATGCAACTCCACTGCTGCTTATGCTCTTCGCTCAATGGCTCATCCCAATCGTAATGGTTTTTCCATAGGAGCTGTTGGAAATGCTTTGCTCTGACTAGTAATGGAATATACCATCCGAATGGATCATATATTGATGCAATTTGTTGGGCAATTGTGCGTTTGCTCACGAATTTTTCGTCACGTACGTTCACACTGAGCGAAATCTTATCTGTGGTAGAGTTCCAAAGTATCCCAAGTACCTTGGGGGCTAGATTTGGGGAGCGGTCAGAAGTTGATAAGGCTCCCATGATATTGGGGTTGTTGGTCACGAAGGCCCTGAGGTTCATATTGAGGTCGTTGAAGATCGACTTCAATGCTTTGTACTTCCGTATACCTTCGGCTGCCGTATCTGCCCCAACGATTAGGTTATCAACGTAAAGGTTGGATGCGATTTCGGTCGCCAGCGCCTTATCTTTCACGTGGTTATTCAAGTGGAACTGAATTGTTGCACTCAAAAGGAACGGTGATGCGTTAATTCCGAAGGTTACCCTCTTGAATCTGTAGACGATAAGATTGTCGTCTGTCAGCGGTTGTGTAACATTCCTGATCCAAAGGCACCTGGTGAAGTCCCTGTCGTCTTCATGAAGATGTACTTGGAGGAATGCTTTTTCAACGTCAGAAAGTAAGACGTACTTGCTGGTGCGGAAACGTAGGAGGATTCCATATAATTTAGGGAGTATGGTTGGTCCTTGATGCACCACTTCGTTAAGTGAAGGACAGTTTTTGTAATGCGCTGATGCATCAAATACTACTCTGAACTTCGTAGTATCCTTCTGTGGGGTAATCACGGGTTGATGAGGAAGGTAATGTCTTGGTTTCCCAAAGATGTCCTTTCTTTCGTCTACTTCCTCCAAAATGCCTTTTTTGAGCTGATCTTGAAATACTTCATGGTACTGTTTAAGGATATCTGGATGTGCACCATATTTACGCAGCACACTTTTCAGTCGATGAAGTACCAATGCTCTGTTATCTGGCAAAGGCTCGTGCTGTTCTTTGAATGGAAGTCGAACAACATAGCCGTATTCCCGTTTTTCAATGGTACTGTTAAAGTTTTCCAGTACCTTCTCGTTGATGCGAGCTCTCTCTTCTTTTTCTGGGCCACAATACTCCTGTTCTACCCCTTGAGTTTGGATGCTCCAATGGCTTTCCCAGGGGTCACCATCTCCCTGAGATTCTATGGAATGCACAGACGAATGTAAGTGTAGTTCGTCATTCTCACGACTCTGAATGCGCTCTCCGGAAACCATGTACCCAATTCGTGTGGGTACCAGTATAAGTCCGGATGGCATTGTGAAGTGAGGTGCTCCGAATTTTATAAAGTTCCAAAGCTGGTCGCATCCAATGAGAATTTCGGGGGGTTTCAGAATCCCAGTGCTTGGAGTGCTCAACTTAATTCCTTTCTCGCGGATGTACCGTAGATCTTCCTCTAGGAGCTTTCCTCCAGTGAAATTTCTTTTGAGGTTATCATGGGTGTACAGCCGCAGCTTGAGCTGCTCTCCTTCAGAGTCCCATACGCTCAGACGGGTATCGATACACTGAATCTCTTTTGCGGTCTTTGCGCCAAAGGTCCTAAGCTTCATGGTGACTACACCGTGGCTAGGGAGTTGAAGCTCTTTAGCTAATCTAGTATCGATGAAGCTGCGGTCGGCACCCGTATCCAATAGGATCTGAAGCGTAACTAGCTTCTGAGTTGTCGGATGTAGAGCGCGTAATGACCCTGTCAGAAGGAACACCTCTCCTTGATGTGTTTTACAGGATGAGTCTTCAACCCTCATAACCGTAAGATCAGGAGTTCCTTCTTCTTCCGCTAGTGACTCTGTTTCATCACAGAGTGTAAGGTTCTGCCGGACATGTGCTGATTTTTGCTTTTGCTCTCTTTTCCGGTCTGGGCTTGGCACTGGGGAGGACGGACTAGGTGCATCACCCTTGAAGCATGTAGAAGCGTGATGCTTTTTCCCACAGTGCATACAGCCCTTCGTCTTACACTCTGTAAAACTGTGAGTCTTAGACCCACAACCTATGCAGCGGTTGGCCTTTTTCAAGTACTCCAGACGTGCCCTCGGGGAGACAATTTTGGTACAATTTGTTGACCAATGCTCTTTGCTTTCGCAATAGAAGCAGAATGGAGTACGTTTTTTCATTTGTGGTTGCGGTCTAAACATCTCTTTTTTCGGAAACTGGGTATTTTCCTGCTTCCTAGGGATGTGCTTTTCAATTTCCTCCTCTTGCTTTATCACCTTATCAAGAGTGGTCAGGAGTTTAGTTAATGTCCAACATTCATTCTGCGGCAAAGAGACCTTTTCTTTAAGTGCGTTTCTCTGAATAGCCACTGTGAACTTTGAAAGAATTTTCGACAAAAGCCAAGGGCTATCCAGACATTCGCCTTTGCTCACAAGTTGAGCTGTAATGGCGGACAGTTGGTCGTGAAGCTTGCGCTGGTCTTTCAGCTGCGTACTTCTTGCGCTCCAATGCTCCAACTGACTGTGAAGATTGGTAATAATGCTCTGCACATTACCATATCTTTCCTTCAGATGGGCCACCGCAAGGTAATAATTAGCTGAGCTCACTTGAAACCGAGCTATAGACTCACGGGCTTCACCTTTTAAAGCTTTCAGAAGATAGTTAAATTTCTGGAGATCTGACAGTTGTGATGAATGCACGGTTGCGTCGAATAATTCCCAGAAACTGTCCCACTGCCAACTTTTACCGCTGAATTGTGGCAACGGTATTTTGGGAAGCTCTACCCGAGCAGCTGTGCTCCCACCATGTATTTGGTGATCTACACCAGAAACTTCTAATTTATGAGATAGTATCTGATTTTTATTAATTTCGAACTTTACAAGTAAGTTCGTGACTTCTACGATCATACTCTCAGCGTTAGAAATGTATTCGGAGATTTTCTCCTCTTCCTCCTTCGTTGGAGGCTCTACGAGGCCATCCACTGCCTCAGTAAACTCGAAAAGGGCTTTTTCGAATGTGCTCAGAAGTGTTCTAATCTCTACTTCAGCCACTCGAATCCCAGCTAGAGCAACCCTGCATGCTTCGCTATCCTCTAAATTCACTGCATTTCCCAACGTAGAATGCTTAGATAAGCTCTGTGACAAGGTGTTGGAATGTCTGGTTAGGACCCCTTTTCTCGCTTTCAATGATGCAGCCATCCCCTGCTTCTAAGCGGAATGTTGCAGTTCGATCAATTCCGAGGCAAAACAACGTCCAGAAGCCTGTTAGATCGTTAGTCGAGATAAAGGGCGGCGAGGATGCACGAGGCGGTACGGTATGCTCTAATGCAATTATGCTTACTAATACACACTTCCGGTTAGTGAAGCGTTAGTGTATAGGCAAGCTGTCTCGAAGACCCACCTAACTCCTTGGTCGTCTTCGGTAAAACTCTTCTGGTGCTCGCTATCCACTCTTCGGCTCAGGTACTGCTCGATGGTCGATGCACCAGTTGTACACTCGCGTGGTTCAGCGATAATCTCAAACTTGGGTAATTAAACTTTATCCTAATAGTAAAAATAAAATACAAACAGTACAACCGATATACAACACGATATAAGTGAAAGAAATCATTTTAAAGCATTAAAAATGGATAAAAAGTCATAAAATATGAGATTACATGAAAAGAGGGAATAAAATGCTCTAGAATGCTCACTGATGCTCACTGATGCTCTATGATGCTCGCAGTGCTCTCAAAGAAAAGAAATCTGAGTTGAAAGGAGAAAAAATGCAGGGAAATGCTCGCCGGTCCCTCTTTTATACGGACGCTTAACGCTCGGCGGGGTTATCACGACCTCGCATCTAGCGAGGAATGCTCTTTTCATTAAGCTACATATTTTTCTATGCTCTGGTCACGTCCGTGACACTCCCCCCAGGCGTTATAGGCTCAGGGCCGAGATGTTGAGGAGGAGGGCCCGTAATAGTCTTCGTTTGTTTCGAGCTCCTGCTGGATCTCTTCCAACTCTCTGCAAGCGTCAGCGATTTTTTCAGGTAGATTGCACAAGGCTTTGTTGTGGAGATTGGATCCACAGTACATGCACGCGATTCTCTTGTTAGGACAGAACTGCTTATAGTGACGGCTATCCAAGCAGTACTTACATCGGACACGCGGGAATCTTCTCTCAACACTGGCGTATCTCGGGCAACTGTCCGAATAATGAGTCCCTTTGATTAGACAGAAGGAGCAAATCAGGTAACGGTCTTTGGTCTCTCATTTTGTCAACTTGGCGGATGCACCTCTCTGGTACGGCTCTGTTCTCGTTCAAGTATGCTCTTATCTCAGCTATACGCCTTTCCAGTTCAATCCTTGCCTGATTTCCGGGATACTGCACTGGCTGCGGACTACGCCTTTCTGATCTATCGGACAACTTCATCATCTTGCAACGTCAACGTCAAATTCATAGTCGTCCATTAG